GACAGACTTCTTAGAAGAAGATCATCTTCTTAGATGATTAGAAGTAATTTAAATGCAGTGAGTGCTTGGAATGTGATGGTTACTTCTAATATTCCCCTTTTGATACAAAATGAAATGTCTTAAAGCAAAGCAAATATATACAAAGTATTCCCTGATAATCCAAATGTTCTTAGTCCCTCATGTTGCTGCTTTTATGTAGATCTCATTTACCCCTTTATCCTATTTTCCTTGGATGGCCATACATCTCAACTGAGTAGCCTAGATTTCTTTGCTTTGATAATACATTTTCCTTAGTCATTACTTAGCCTAGAAATAATTAAAATAAGGGAGTACTACACCACAGGCATATTTTAATCAGAGTGTAATAGTAACACATAAGGCAATCATTGATTCCCAACTCATAACTACCATGTTAAAGAAAATGTCCAAACCATAGTCTTTGAAGTATCAGTCCTGTGTACCCAATACCACAACTGACCTACAATCGATCAATCAGCTTCTCTATTCAGGGAATCTGAAAGAAGATTATAGAAGTGACGCTGAGTGCTTGAACTAAACTGATGAAACATGGCGCATAAAGACCTGAATCACCATGAAGGCAAGGCAGGCTGGGATTATGGAGAAAGAAAAGCAATGAGTAAGAAGGCTGTCTCCACAGAAAAAAAGTAAACCAGAGAAAAAGAAAAGACAAAGAAGCCTTAGAAGAAATAGATGTAACCATTATGGTCCCTCTGTGGCCCAGCAGCACTCTACATTCTAAATCCTATCTTTACTTCCACTATTCCATGTGTTTCTGTTTTCACGGTTAAATGAGAGTTTGAAGAATATCAACCTTATCAGAATCATTGTAGAAGTACTTAATGAGAACCTGACCTAAAAGAATGTGTTTTGGCCGAAATACTATACCATGAACTATTATCAAAGTTGCTTCCTCCTTGTCAAAAACTTGAATGCCTACAGAAAACAGGCAGATGAGAGAAGAGGGCTAGTATCTTAAAAGTTTTTCTTTAGATACATCCTTTATTGTCATATTAAGAATTTCCTCCTTTCTAAAAATACACAATCCCTGCTCTCTCATTGTTCTTGGTCTTGTATCTTCTACTTTCCATAGAGATAAGGGTATAAGAGAAGAATGCCAACTAGGTGTGATGGCTAATACCAAGAGACATTCAGCCTTGTTGACTGAGAAGTAATGAAGAGTAGGAAGGATAGTGATAAACTAGGAAATAATTTCCACCTACAAAGAACAATCATTACTCAGTCTTAGGCAATGGCCACCAGACAGGGTCTTAAATTTTCAAAAAAAGACAAAAATCTGGGGTTTTATGTTAAGTCTTTCAGTTTTTAAGTGTTGTCAATAGACTTTTCTTCTAAAATGATGTGGGTCAGTTCACTGGCTGCCAACTTGGACTCCTACTGTAGACATTAGTGTCCTTTTATAACTCCCTAGATTTCTAGCTTCCTCAGGCATATTTGTTTAACATCATAACATGCTAGGCCTATAATTACATATTAGGCAAATCACTACCAAAGTTGTACCTCATTTATTTTTTACCTATATGTTATTTTAAATTCAACATGTTACTCTTCAAAAACAACTTAAAGCCAATATTAGTAAGTAACATCTTATTAATTATTAGTTTCCAAATCATGGGCCACCTACTCTGAAAGAACAATATTCATATTTAAAAGTTCATTGCCTAAGTTGTAAAACTTTACAAATGCTATCTCAGTCACACTTGACTTCCAACCATTTGTTTCTACTGTTCCTTTAGCCTGGAAGGGCTGCAACGTCTTCCTCTAAGAAGCCTCATATACTAATTTCTTGTCAGCTTGAACTTACGCTCCAGAGCTCACTGTACTCACTACTGAAATCAAGCTTTTACTGTTTATCCCTCCAAGCAGCATATAAATACCTTAAGGATAAAGCCTATATAGAATTTAGGATTGCAGGCCCAGAAGCTAAATATGACTAAATGAGCCATGTGGCAGAATACTGAGAATCTGTTTTGTTCAGCTGGCCAAGTACTTTCCAAGTATGCTACCAAGTGCCTGGCACCTAATAGATGTGCATTTCTTCACTTATTCAGCAATATCTGTCTCTGCTTTCTCAATAAATGTCTTAGTTGGGGGAATGAAGCAAATTAGGGATGTGTTAAACACAAATGAATATATGTATATAAATACATACACACTCTTCAGTTCATTACCATTATAGCTGTCTTGAAGAGATTCACAATTTTACTGAGCCTTGGAATTTTTGTCCAACTAAATGCAGATGATGCCAACTTTACTAAGTTGTGAGAAGTAAATAAGAAATTCTAGAAGTGTTAAGAAAATGGCATATGTCATAGCTCATACAAATGGTGTCAATACTTCTTAAGAAAACCAAAACTTCAAAGGTACTTCCAAATAACAGATTTTTAAGTCCTGGATAGATGTGTGAAAGGGGAAATGGTTCAATAACTATACCTAATCTACATACTTAACAGTAATCCAAACAGTTGCTTAGTTTTTATGAAATGACAGTTGCTTATAGCACAGAGAAATAACACCAGTGTACTTCAAGCTTTATGAAAGAAATAGTTCAAAGATTACCACCTGTATTCAGCATGGCAAAAATCTGTAGGTTTGAGTCAAAAGGAGATAAATTTTTGGCTCAGTAGCAGGAAAAAATTCAAAAATTTCCAAACAAGTTACTCAACACAGCTTCACGTGGAGAATGCACCTACCCTACCCCTCAACAAAGGTTCATGTCCTAATACCCAGAACCCATGAATATGTTGTTATATGGCAAGAGGAAATTTCTGTTGAAAATGGAATTAAGTTTGCTAACCAACGAACCTTGCGATGAGGAGAATAGCCCAGATTATCCAGGTAGACCCAATGTAATCACAAGGGTTCTTATCAGTGGAAGGAGGAAGGCAAGAGTGAGTGTCAATCGTGGTATAACATACTAAAGACCCAACCAGTCACTGCTGACTTTGAAGATGAAGGCAAACTATGAGCCAGGGAATCTGAGAAGGCTTTAAAAGTTGGAAAACACAAGGAAACAGGGTCTAGAGCAGTGGTTCTCAACCTTCCTAATACCGCAACCCTTTAACACAGTTCCTCATGTTGTGGTGACCCCCAATCATAAAATTATTTTCGTTGCTACTTCATAACTGTAATGTTGCTACTGTTATGAATCGTAACGTAAATATCTGATATGCAAGATGTATTTAAGTGACCACTGTAAAAGGGTTGTTTGACCCCCAAAGGGATCGTGACCCACAGATTAAGAACCACTGATCTAGAGCCTTTTACCAAGGCTTTCCAAGAAAGAAAAACAGCCCCTGCCAACATCTCAATTTTAGCCCAGTGAGATCTACTTTGGACTTGTATTAGTAATAATTGCAACTCAGAGAAACCTTATTGGCTACAATACTGCCAGTGCACACAGCTCTATTTTGGACTTCTGATCCTCCCCTAGAACCACAAGATAATAAATTTGTGTTGTTCTAAGCCACTAATTTGTGGTAATTTGTTGCAGCAGCACTAGGAAACTAATTCAGTTTGCCTTGGCATGTGGCCTTTCTCCCTTACAGATGGTATTTATACTGAAGTTAGAAAAGCTGTTCATGGTTTGTGTCTAGGGGATGGAGTAGTAGGTAAAATGTCATAATGATTCAGATAAGGACAGACTGAGTTCTAAAGGCAAGAGTCTTTAAACTGGCTCTATGCATGAACATTTTGGTATATAATCACTTATGTCCTTTTCTCTGTATAAAGAGTCTAGAGCATTTTCAAAGATTTGCAAAAGGATCTATTTCACAATGTTAAGAACGCTCTTCCTGGATTATGACCAGTACTAAGCTTTTCACATTCCATGATTTTCTCTATCAGTGAGTTTCAAAGAGTAGTCCAAGAAACATCAAACTTATCTGTCATTTTGTAAAATGTTTCCTGGAGAAACAGAATCTCTATAAACTGCAAAAAGTCTAATTTTAGCAAACCAGTGAGAGGGAAGAGAGGGAATTCTATACACAGTGTTAAAGAATCACTGCTCCAAGGAGTGTTTTATGAAACATTAGGCCAAAGAAATTGAAATGAATTGTTCCCATTACTAAATCTTTAGAAATGTCAATGCACTCGTGACTGCGGATTACTTCTGAGCTTTGATAGCTCAGAGTATGAAGGCAGTGTCTATTACACCAAATTACAATATTTATATAAATATTCATTTTGTGGTGTGCAAGGAATAATTGGCAACTAATAAACATCACACTAAAAAAAAAAGTTAGTCTTATCTTCCACCTCCTCTTATCCATGTAAGGAAAAATAATACCGGACATGTCATTTTACATACTGTTGAATACACACTTCTGCTAATCGTGTCAATATTATGACTAAATGACACATTTCTATAATAAAGTTCTTGGTATGATTCCCCTCCAACATTTTACTCTTACAAGCTAATAAAATACTCTGCTGGACTTATGTCTAAGACACCGTAGGTATTTACAAGTTAAATCTTTTACGAGTCACTAAATGGGGTAACCCTACTAGCCTCCATGAAAAGATCTCCCAACAGAGACAGGCCTAGAGGACGAATAAGAAAGACCAGCAGTAACTTCTGAATCTCGGCAACCTTGGGCAGCTTTTCTGTGTCGGAGCTGTTTTGACAACTCTAAAAAATATATGAGACATGAAAGGGAAGGGGCTTGAGAAAAGAGCCTTTAGGAACTCTTTGCACCTCAGAAATAACCCAAATTCCAAGGCAAGGTCATAAAGAAACCATACATACCAGGGGACCAGGAGCAGAGGTGAATTCTCCCAACTCCCAAGAAAGCCCTTTGCGGCATGCATTAGGCCAAGTCAGCAGACTCCACCCAAAAGCAGGCCGAAGGGAACAGGAGCTTGGGAACCCCCACACCCAACCGCTGGCCCTCAACTAGATTGCTTCTGACCTGGGCCCATAGCTCAACTACACAGAGAAGCGTAGAGTTCCGGACACTCACCCCGAAGCCACCGCGTGCTGTGAAGCCATCTCCAACTAACTGCGCGGCCGACAGACCATTCAGCAGTCCCCTTAACCAGCCCTACGCTTCGGCGGCCCGCGAAGCCGAGGAGGCAGCGTAACAGCCGCGGGTCACAGCCTAGCCTCCAGGAGGCCGCCATCTTCCCGGCCTTCTCACGGGCTGACCGAAGCAGAGCCTGATCTGTCAGGATCAAGGCCCTCCAGAGTCCCGCCCCCCACCCGTTTGGCCACGCCCTAAGTACGCTAGTTGTGCCTTTAGGTCTCGGAGAAGCCCTCCTATCTCCGCCTCTAACCTCTTTGGCCACGCCTACTGATCAGGAGGTGGTGAGGCGGGATCTCTCAGCAAGTGAGGCCCTCCAAGGCCCCGCCTTCCGCCCTGTGCGCCCCGCCCCTGAGCTGCCCTCAGTGCTGCCTGTCTCCACATGTGGTCCCTGGGGGTTAGACTGCGCCGAAATTTGGAGGCTGCGGGTCCCTCTGGTCTAGGCCATGTCCGATTGTCATGCTCCACAGGGAGACTGTTGCTCCCGGCGACACAGTGCGCAGGTAGGGGCGGGGCTGCCGATGCTCAGTATTCCAGGGAAGTGAGGCGCTGGCGGGCCGCGGCGGCTGGAACTCGACACGGGCTGGGTGCAGCTGGGTGCGGGCCGGGGCTTCGGGCGGGTCCGCACGCGACCACCAGCTCCGCAGCCTCCGTCTGCTGAAGTGAGGCGGCGGCCCGGAGCTGGGACCAAACATTGTAAAAGAACAAATAACGGAGGAGAGTATTTGGGTGACTGAAGTGGGGAGACAGGCCAGAGAAGGAATCGTGAAGCACTGGAGTGGAACTGGAGCCTGGACTGAGCCCCTCGACCTCATTTCCTGCACCCTAGCGACTAGCTCGTCTTTTGGCACGCTGTAGGCACTTAGGAGACATTTGCGGAAACAGGAGCTGTTTCAGTATCCGACACTTTAAACCGTTGCACCTTGCTTATCTCAGTTTAGATTGATCATAGGAACGGCTCTTCTTACGCGGAAGTCAAAGAGAGGTCCACCCTCAGGCTGCAAATACACATCAACAGCTTTTTGGAACACCCTCTACGTGCTCAGAGATAGTAGTGAATAAGACTAATGGCCTAAGGCCCAAAGGAGAACTAGAGAAGTAAACAATTTCAATATAGTGTGAAAAACCCGCTTAAGAGGCCGGGAAAGCCCTCTAAATTAGCTCTCTTGTACCTTCTATTATTACTTTGGGCTGAAGATCTCAATTACAAAGTAATAACTCGGGAGACATTTTATTGCAAAACATTTGTCAACCTTTATATTCTTTGAATAAATGACATTCCCCAAATTAGCAAAAACAATTCTGAGAATAGAATGCTGAGTTGGCAAGATTGGATGGGGACAGGTAATCAGAGATCATTCTTAGGTAGGAATGAGGAAAATGAGGAAAGTAGAAGCAACCGGTTACTACAGTGTTTTACACTGTAACCTAAAGTTAGGACACTAACTGTACGCATTACTGTAACCTACAGTATGGCACACTTAAACCTATAGTTAAACTTCCGCAGCACCTTTAAGTTGTGTTGATGAAAAAAAGTTAAAAAAAAAAAAAAAGAATACACTCACTGGGCTTTAAACTTCTTTTGAAAATACTTTAATTAATGATTTTTAAAAATGTTTGCAGCGTGCTTAGGATCTTCTCACGGCACACCAATTGAAAACCATGGGGTTAGTAGAATCATTAGGTAAGATGTTTCAATAACTCAAGATGTTTATGCCCCCATGAAATATTATTTAAATGGGTGTCAAAGAGATCCTAAGCAATGGACCTGAGAGTAAACTGATTCACAAACCACACATGGCCACAGACAGTGTAATGGAGAGACATGTTTTGTCTGCTCCACTCAATGTTCATGAAAAATTTGACCTAGCATTTCAAAATTCAGGGTAATTTCAGCTTACTTTAAAACTTCAGCACTTTGGGCCCTTATTCCTTCATGGAATATGGGATGCTGTGATGAGCACCCCTTTTACCCAGGTTACCACAGCTGCCACTACTCACATTAGATTTACATATGCACTGAAATGCATGAGCTCCTCTGGACACTCGCATGTACAGAGCAATGAGAAAAGTCTTAAGAAGTTATAACACTTCAGTGTAGTTGTAGGGGGTTTGTGGACAATTGAAAGGGGCAGTCTCTACCCTGATGAAAGGGAAGTGTTCCATTTTAAGTGATTAATTCAACAAATATTTAGTGTGTGCCTGCATTTTAGATTTAACGTAGTACAAGCTACATGTGGTTCCTTCCTACATAGGGCATGCTATATAATGGGGGATAGAAATAAGTAAAGAAACAAGTACTATGATGGGAAAGTTCAGGGTACCATAAGAGTATAGACTTGAATGAGGTAGAGAATGTCTCAAGTACTATGGCATAGTACTATGATGGGAAAGTTCAGGGTACCATAAGAGTATAGACTTGAATGAGGTAGTGAATGCCTCAAGACAAAATGAAGGTCTCTGCTGAGGCCTAAACCATCAGGAAGATAGAACCATATGAGATGAAAGTAAGGATTTTCCAAGTAGAAGAAAGGGCATATAGACAGGGCTTACAGACAAGGACATGGTGTGTTTTCCTAACCGAGAGAAGTTTGGTAGTATTGGAACACGAAGTAGGGGGCAGGGACTGGGAACAGATAAGAGTAAAGAGAAGAACCAGGACCAAACCAAGAGGGCCTTATAAGCCAATCTTAGAAATACGGATTTTTATACTAAAGGCAGTGAGATAACCAGAAAGATGACTAAAGTAAGCATGGGGGTTGCTAGCTAGGGCTAAACTTAACGGCTTGGAGACAAACTAAAAAAGCTGTGGACGTAATAATCCAGGCAAGAGGTGCTGGTGTCCTGAGTGGGGAATTTAGGCAGTAAAATCACGAGGACTCGGTTATTGATTAGAAGTGTATCATGAGAGAAGGAATTCAAGAATGACTTTTAGGGTTCTGATGGAGCAATTGGAGCCTGGTAGTCTACCAGAAAGAGAACATAGAAGAAAGAAGTCGTTTATGATGGGCCTTTTGTGGGCATGTTGAATTTGAGGGACATGCCTAGTATGTGCATGGTTTATAAACTGGGTGTTTATATATGGCTCTCAAGGTAGGAGAGAGCTAGATTGGAAATAAAGATTCAGAAGACTTGCTTCTAAAATCTTCCCTCTGGGGACCTGTGTGTATATTGTTCTTTCTTTGATAGATACTCTCTTCTGAACTGTATTACTTACCTCCCTTTATAGCCCTTTCAATCCTATTATCTTTTGCTCCAACATTCCAAAGTGATTTATGTTTCATAGACTTTCTTCTAGTAATCTCAAGATTCTTCAGGCATATGGTGTATCATTTTCAGGTTACACTTAACGTTTAACAGTAAATTCTAAACTAGTTTTACAATTCTGAAATTAAATCTCCACTCTCTGACCTCTGGCTCTTGAACTTAATTTTTCTAACCTTGGCAAACGTCAAGAGATGTTTCCTAAAAGAAAAAGCATTTACTCAGAAACTATATATTAACAAAGTCTAAGCTCTCAAAAATGTATGCCTTCCTTTGAGAAACTTAGTTTTTAATGCCTAAGTTTCTCAAAGGCAATAATTAATATACTCTCACCAATAATGGGCCTTGGAAGATGGCAGAGGGGAGGGGAGAGGACAAAATATTTTGCAAGTACAGAAGGAAGAGAAGATAATTTCAAACAGTGATTCAGGGAAGGCTTTGTGGAGACTCTGGCATTTTAGGTTGACCTAATTTAGAGATGGAAACCAAAAAGAAGATATTAGGGCCAGCATATGCCCTTTATTAAGAGCTAATACTACCCAACTCTGACTTTTGATTCTGTATAGGAGTATGGGCCCATTGTCTGACTTTGCTTTTTTAAAGGAAACTAGAAACTTGGATTTTGTATGTAATCTCTGGATTTGAAAATGTGGGCATAGACTTTCTAAACATTGAGTAAACCATATGAACCTCTGCTCATGAGTCTGATTTTGTCCGCAAGATACCCGTTTGTAACCTCTGATACAGGACTTTTCTTAATGTAAGAAATATGATCTTAATTCAACCAATGTTTATTGAGCAAAGCACTCTATACTAAGAGCCTGTTCCCTCCCTTTTAGGGAGCTCTGCTTAGTTGGAGAGATGTATTTTAACACAGTGATTATTTTATCACAGTGATTGTTTTGTGATTATTTTGTCACAGTGTCCTATATATGATGATCCTGAATAAGTATTTGTTCTTTGATGTGACTACAACACAAGGCCATCCAGTGTCCTGCCCTCTGTCTTCCTTGACCCCATCGGTGCTGTTAATCTTTGCCTCCCGCTCACCCTAGCATCCCATTCCCGTGGGCACATCCTTTCCTACCCAATGTCTGCACCTTCGCCACACCTTTTTGGGGGTGAGGGATTTTTCTTTTTTGTTCCTGTAGTTCCCACTGTATACCCACCATAAGAGGATCCTCTACACTGTATTACAAATAATTGCCTTTACTTGCTAAGAACCATTCCCAAGGGATAGTGGGATCACTCAACTATATGAGTTAGTGTCTCTCCAAAATATTCTGGTCTTCTACTCAGGTAGCCCCTGAGTACTACATGGCTGTCCTTTCATATTCCCCTAAGTGGCTATTCCAAAATGTCACCATCTCACCTCATCCTCTTCCATGGGCCTGTTTTAAAGATGACATTGCCTCCAAAATCACAGACATAATGAAAGATATGAACTCCTCAACTTTAATGTCTTGCTCTTCCCACCTGCAATATAATGTGAAGGTTAAGGACTAGGGATCTAGAATCAGACTACCTGGGTTCAGGTCTTGGTTCTGACACTTGCTTATCTTGGCAGCCTTGGACAAGTTCCTGAATCTTTATTAGTACAACAGAGTTGTTATGAGGATGAAGTAAAGTAGTCCATACACAGCCTCTTAAGAATGCCTAGCATGAAATAAATACTCCATAAGTATTAGCAGTTCTTGTTACTAGTGGTATTATTGGATATTTACCTGTATCTCTACCCTTCTTCCTAAGGCAACTACTTCCCTGTTTTAATTCCAACTTCTCTGTCTCTGCAAAGACTGACCTATTAATGCCTTTGCTTTCTCTTCCACCTTTAATCTCTCCCTATCACCCAATTTTACTCTTAGTACATAATAGAAAACTGTCTTTATTACTGGCTTTCCCCTCTGTTTTCCTGTCCAGCCCTTTTTTATAGCAACACTATTGAAAGAGTCATCAGCCTTCTGTGCTTCTTAGTTTCATTCACTTCTAGACAAAAGTGAGTGAAGCCCACTGCCACCTGGCTTCTACAACCAGTCCGTTGAAACCTTTGTTACCTGAGGTCCTGGTTGTCCTAATTTACCGATATCGTTGGCATAGCAAAACCCTCAGCTGGGACGAACCCTGCTGCCTACCATCCTGTGTCTGCAACTGAGCAACTGAACATTGCTGGCGAATATTACACAGCTGTGTTGCCTGACTTCGCTTACCTTCATGATGATAACCAAATTGCACCTACTAC